ATCATGTTGCTCTCATAAAATGAGTTAAGGAGGATTCCCTCCTTTTGTATTGTTTGATACAGTTTCAGGAACCAGCTCCTCTTTGTATGTCTGGTGGAATTTGGCTGTGAACCCATCTGGACCTGGACTTTTTTTGGTTGGTAGGCCGTTGATTGCTGCCTCTACTTCAGCCCTTGTTATGGGTCTATTCAGGATTTCAGCTTCCTCCTGGTTTAGTCTTGGTAGAGTACAAGTATCTAGGAATTTGTCCATTTCTTCCTGGTTTACTGGTTTGCGTGAGTAGAGCTGTTTGTAGTAATCGCTGATGGTAGTTTGTATTTCTGTGGGATCAGTGGTGATATCCCCTTTATCATTTTTTATTGCATCTATTTGATTCTTCTCTCTTTTCTTTTTTATTAATTTGGCTAGCAGTCTATTTTGTTGATCTTTTCAAAAACCAGCTCCTGGATTAATTGATTTTTTGAAGGGTTTTTTGTGTCTCTATTTCCTTCAGTTCTGCTCTGATCTTAGTTATTTCTTGCCTTCTGCTAGCTTTTGAGTTTTTTCGATCTTCTCTAGCTTTTTCAATTTTGATGATAAGGTATTGATTTTAGTTCTTCCCTCTCTTCTCTGGTGGGCATTTATTGCTATAAATTTCCCTCTTGACACTGCTTTAAAGATGTCCCAGATATTCTGGTAAGTTGTGTCTTCATTCTGGTTGGTTCCGAAGAACATCTTTATTTCTGCCTTCGTTTCATTGTTTATCCAGTTGTCACTCAGAAGCAAGTTGTTCAGTTTCCAAGTGGTTGTGCGGGTTTGAGTGTATTTCTTGATCCTGAGTTCTAGTCTGTGCTGTGGTCTGATAGACTCTTTGTTATGATTTCTGTTCGTTTGCATTTGCTGAGGAGTGATTTGCTTCCAATGATGTTGTCAATTTTAGAGTAAATGCATTGTGGTGCTGAGAAAATTGTATTTTCTGTACATTTGGGGTGGAGCGTTCTGTATATGTCTATTAGGTCCGCTTGGTCCAGCTCTGCATTCAAGTTGTGGATATCCTTGTTAATTTTCTGTCTCATTGATCTGTCTAATATAGACAATGGAGTGTTGAAGTGTCCTGCTATTATAGTATGGGAGTCTAAATCTCGTTTTAGGTCGTTAAAAATTTGCTTTACGTATCTGGGTGCTCCTGTGTTGGGGTTGTATATATTTAGGATAGTTAGCTCTTCCTGTTGGATTGATCCTTTTACCATTATGTAGTGTCCTTCTTTGTCTCTTTTGATCTTTGTTGGTTTGAAGTCCATTTAATCAGAGATGAGGATTGCAACCCCTGTTTTTTTTGTTCTCCATTTGCTTGGTAAATCTTCTTCCATCCCTTTATTTTGAGTCCATTTGTGTCTTTGTATGTGAGATGGGTTTCCTGAATATAGCACACCGATGGGTTTTGACTTTTTATCCAGCTTTCCAGTCTGTGTCTTTTAATTGGGGCATTTAGGCCATTTACATTCAATGTTAATATTGTTATGTGTGAATTTGATTCTGCCATTTTGTTACTGGCTGGTTTTCTTTCCCATTAGTTGACTCATTTTCTTCATTGCATTTTTGGTCTTTGCCAACTGGTTTGCTTTTGACTGCAAGTGAGTGGTACTTGTTCCTTTCCTTGCTTAGTGTTTCTTTCAGGAGCTCTTGTAGGGCAGCTCTGGTGTTGACAAAATCTCTAAATAATTGCTTGTTCGTAAAGGATTTTATTTCTCCTTCACTTATGAAGCTTAGTTTGGCTGGATGTGAGATTCTGGGTTGCAATTTCTTTTCTTTACGGATGTTGAATATTGGCCCCCACTCTCTTCTAGCATGTAAGGTTTCTGACGAGAGATCCGCTGTGAGTCTGATGGGCCTCCCTCTGTGGGTGACCTGATCTTTCTCTCTGGCTGCCCTTAGCATTTTTTCCTTCATTTCAACCCTGGTGAATGTGACGATTATGTGCCTTGGGGTTGCTCTTCTTGAGGAATGTCTTTGTGGAGTTCTCTATATTTCTGGAATTTGAAATTTGGACTGCCTTGCTAGGCTTGGGAAGTTCTCCTGGATAATATCCTGGATTGTGTTTTCCAGCCTGGATTCATTCTCCCGATCATATTTGGGTACACCTATCAAGCATAGATTAGGTCTTTTCATATAATCTCATATTTCTTGGAGGCTTTGTTCATTTCTTTTGACTCTTTTTTCTCGTCTTGCCTTCTCTTTTTATTTCTTTGAGTTGATCTTCAATCTCTGATAGCCTTTCTTCTGCTTGATCGATTTGGCTATTAAAACTTGTGTTTGCTTCACATAGCTCTCGTGCTGTGTTTTTCAACTCCATCGAGTCGTTTATGTTTTCCTCTAAGCTGGTTATTATAGTTAGCATTTCATCTAACCTTTTTTCAAGGTTTTTGGTTTCCTTGAATTGAGTTAGAACATGTTCCTTTAACTCAGAAAAGTTTGTTATTATCCACCTTCTGAAGCCTGTTTCTGTCAATTCGTCACACTCCTCAGTACAGTTATGATCCTGTGTTGTTGAGGAATTGTGATCTCTTGAAGGAGAAGAGGTGTTCTGGTCTTTGATGGTTTCATCTTTTTTGTGCTGTTTTTTCCCCATCTTTGTGGAATTACCTGGCTGTGGTGTCAGGGAGCTGCTTGATGAGGTTGCTTGTCTACCTGTGGAGGCGCTACTGGGTTTCTACGGACTCCTTCAGGTTACTAGGGAAGCTTCCTGTGTCTTTTTTGTTTATAGTGGGAGATTAGGCCAGCCTCTTCCACTGACCTGTAGGCGCTCCTGGGTTGTCAAGAACACCCTCCCGTTGTTATCTAGGCTTCCTGTGTTTTTTGTTAAAATATGTATCCCAGTCCCACCCCTCTAGTGGTGGGTTGTGCCCTTCCTCCAGTGGGCTGGATCATTCAGGGTTCATCTCAAACTGTGGCACTGGCCGCACAACCCACTAGAGTCAGAGCTTAGTTCCCTGAGGTTTGTGGGGGACGTTAGGAACCTGCAGGCTCTTGTTCTACTCCGTACTTGTAATTCCTAGCACTTGACTGGCAAAGATCCCCTGTTCTGTGTATTGCTGAGGCTTTGAGGAAAGCACTGTATCTCGACCGGAGTGTCAGAGAGGGAGCCTCTGAACTTGCTGGTCAGATACACTTTCTGGGTGAAGCAGCACCCCTCCCCATCTCGGTCTGCCCTGAGTGTGCATTGTTCACCATTGGACCAGACTCATTGAAACACCCCTGGTACCTCTGTTGGAGCTAGAAGATCTCTGAATTTCTGTGTCTCTTTTGCTGGGCATTGTGCGCTAGAGTTGTGTCTAATCCGCCATCTTGGATCTTCTCAGGTGTTTATATTTTCAAATGAAGAAACTCATCTTCATAGTGTGGATACAGGAATAGTTTTTTTATAAATTATTTTTATTATAATTGTCTTATTCAATAGTTATATACAAGTATTCTGTTCTCTTTTGTTACTCCTTTTTACAAATGAAGGCAAGAATGAAATGAAGGAAACTGTATTAATATAGTACTCTTTTCCACCCTTGAATCTCACATCCAGATTCAAATGTTAAAATTTTACCACACTTATTCTCTTTCTCCTTTATATATATGTACAAACACACATGTTTTCCTCCTGAACTAAGGGTATAGAATCATACCCAAAATGATTCTGTACCCTTAAATATTTCAGTGTTTGTTTCCTGCATTGGTTGGCTTTCATGTTGCTGGTAAAGACATATCTGAGACTGAGAATAAAAAGAGGTTTCATTGGCCTTACAGTTCCACATGGTGAGGGAGTTTTCAGAATCATGGTGGGAGGCAAAATGTGACACTTCTTACATGGTGGCAGCAAGAGAAAATGAGAAAGAAGCAAAAGTAGAAACTCCTGATAAATCCATCAGATCTCATGAGACTTATTAACTATAATGAGAATAGCACAGCAAAGACTGGCCGTCATGATTCAATTACCTTGCCCTTGGTCCCTCTCACAACACTTAGGAATTCTCTCAGGTACAATTCAAGTTGAGATTTGGATTGGGACACAGCCAAACCACATCATTCTGCCCCTGGCCCCTGCAAATCTTCTGTCCTCACGTTTCAAAACCAATCTTGCCTTCCCAACAGTCCCCCAGAGTCTTAACTCATATCAGCATTAACCCAAAAGTCCACAGTCCAAAGTCTCATTTGAGACAAGGCAAGTCCCTCCTGCCTGTGAGCATGTAAAACAAAAGCAAGCTAGTTACTTCCCATATACAGTGGGGGTACAGGTATTGGGTGAATACAGCCATTCCAAAAGAAATAAATTGGCCAAAACAAAGGGGTTACAGGGCCCATGCAAGTCCAAAATCCAGCAGGGCAGTCAAATTTTAAGGCTCCAAAATGATCTCCTTGGACTGCAGGTCTTGCATCCAGGTCATGCTGATGTAAGAGGCAGTAGGTTCCCATGGTCTTGGGTAGCTCTGCCCCTGTGGTTTTGAAGGGTACAGACTCCCTCCTGGCTGCTTTCACAGGCTGGTGTTTAGCATCTGCAACTTTTCCAGGCGCACTGTGCAAACTGTCAGTGGATTTGCTGTTCTGGGATCTGGAGGACGGTGGCCCTCTTCTCACAGCTCCACTAGGCGGTGCCCCAGTAGGGATTCTGTGTGGGGGCTCTGAGCCCATGTTTCCCTTCCATGCTGCCCTAGCAGAGGCTCTCCATGAGGACCCCACCCCTGCAGCAAACTTTTGCCTGGGCATCCAGTCATTTCCATACATCCTCTAAAATCTAGGTGGAGGTTCCCAAACCTCAGTTCTTGACATTTGTTCCGCCACAGGCTCAACACCACATGGAAGCTACCAAGGTTTGCGGCTTCTACCTTCTGAAGCCACAGCCTGAGCTATACATTGACCCCTTCTAGCCATGGCTGGAGCAGAGTGGCTGGAACACAGGGCACCAAGTCCCTAGGCTGCACACAGCACAGAGACCTTGGCCCACAAAACCACTTTTTCCTCCTGGGCCCCTGGGCCTGTGATGAAAGGGGCTGCCATGAAGGTCTCTGGCATGGCCTGGAGACATTTTCCCCATGGTCTCAGGGATTAATGTCTTGATATCTTATAGACTCTTAACAGTAGTAGGTGAAATTAGTAAGAAAAGTGTGGGGTTACAGAGAAAAGGACTGGTTCTATGAAAATGATTTGTAGATTCTTGATACTTTGGAAATTAGGCTCCTTACTATTTACTCAAATTTCTGTAGCCAGCTTGAATTTCTCCCCAGAAAATGGATTTTTCTTTTCTATCACATAGGCTGCAAATTTTTTCCAAACTTTTATGCTCTGCTCCCCTTATAAAACTGAGTGCCTTTAACAGAACCCAAGTCACCTCTTGAATGCTTTGCTGCCTAGAAATTTCTTCCACCAGATACCCTAAATCATCTTTCTCAAGTTCAGAGTTGCACAGACCAACCTCTAAGGCAGGGGCAGAATGCCATCAGTCTCTTTGCTAAAACATAACAAGAGTCACCTTTACTCCAGTTCCCAAAAAATTCCTTCTCTATGTCTGAGACCACCACATCCTGAACCTTATTGTCTGTATCACTATCAGCATTTTGGGCAAAGCCATTCAACAAGTCTCTAGGTGGTTCCAAACTTTCCCACATTTCCTGTCTTCTTCTGAGCCTTCCAAACTGTTCCAACCTCTGCCTATTCCCCAGTTCCCAAGTTGCTTCTACATTTTCAGGTAACTTTTGAGCAATACCCTACTCTGCTGGTACCAGTTTACTTTATTAGTCTGGTTTCATGCTGCTGATAAAGACATACCGGAGACTTAGAAGAAAAAGAAGTTTAATTGGGCTTACAGTTCCACATGGCTGGGGAGGCCTCAGAAGCATGGCGGGAAGGTAAAAGACTTCTTACATGGTAGCAGCAAGAGAAAAATGAGGAAGAAGCAAAAGTAAAAACCTATGATAAACCCATCAGATCTTATGAGACTTATTAACTATAACGAAAATAGCACGGGAAAGACTGGCCTCCATAATTCAGTTACCTTGCCCTGGGTCCCACCCACAACATGTGGGAGTTCTGGGAAAAACAGTTCAAGTTGAGATTTGATTGAGGACCTAACCAAACCATATCATCTTCTAATGACAAAGATTTTACATAATCACAGTACATTTGTTAAAATCAGGAAATTATCATTGATATAATACTGTCATCTATATAATTTATTCACATTTTATCAATTGTCCCAATAATATCAGGGACAACAAATTTGTCAAGCTCTACAAGTATTAATGGAGGACAGTGCCACATAAATAAAGCATACTCTTAGATTGAAATTAGCATTTGTAAAGAAGTTGCCTTCTGAGATAATTAATGGCCACGAGCCTCTGCTAATATATTTGCCTTCCTTATATCCTACAATTTGACTTTGAATTTTAGGGAGAGTAGGGAGTAGTAGAGAGTAAATTGTTTTTGTTTTTGCCATTTGACCCTTTCCAGTTCCTGACAGAACAGTGGTGCATGCCCAGAACATCTTTTGGGAGGAATCCTGTTATTGTTTTCCTCACTTCGCTGTAACCCTTTCTTTCTTGTCTTTCTTTCATACTTACTAAGCATGTGCTGAGCACTGAATTAAAATGATAGTACCATGTGTATGTACTAATCGTCTGTTTTGTACTTAGGAAATAGGTTGTTTGGGCAGAAACCACTTAAAAACGTTTCTGAGTAAACTTTTATTATATATTATAGGGATATAAAAGTGGCCCTTTACAGACTCTTTGTTTGTTTGGACCCTCCTTGGTATTTGTTTTTATGTTTTAGACATTGGATCTTGTTATGTTGCCCAGGCTGGAGTGCAGTGGCTCCAGCACTGCAGCCTTGAATTCCTGCGCTCAAGCATCCCTTCTCCATCAGCCTCCCAGGTAGCTGGGACTATAGGCTCATGCCATTGCACTAGACTTTCCTTGGTATTTCTTAAACGTGCATTTAGCGTTTCTTAAGGAGTGCCTTGATGTAAACCTTAAACGTGAAGAAGCTATGTCATTCCTCAAGGCCTTTGTGCCTATTGTTCTGTTTACCTTAATTCTCTTTCCCCAGATAGCTGCATGGTTTGTTACCCTAACTCCTTCAGATCACTGGTCAAATAGAACTTTCCTTGACAAAATAATAACTACCTTTCCCTCTCGCTTCCTTACCTGTACTCCCTATCCATTTTCTCCCTATTTTCTCCATAAAATTCACCATATTGATACATTATTACTTTCACAGGTTTGCTTGTATACTGTCTTCCATAGGAGTATAAGTTCCATGATGGCTGGAGTTTATCTGTTTAGTTTACTATATCCCCAGAGCCTTTAATAGTGTATTGACATAGTAGACTCTCAGTAAATCTTTGTGAGGTGATGCATGTGCTGCTGTTCTGAGTCTGACTGTGACAGTTTTTTTTTTCCCCTAAAAAAATAGGAATTCTGAGGGAATTATTTAAATACTACAACTTAAGTGCTGTCTTTCTGAGTAGGGAAGCTTTAAAATAATTTGTTTTAGAACTTTTCTTTCAAAGGTTTTATTTTCTATTATGTTATTTATTTGGTTCTACACAATTTTCTTACCAAATACATTGAAAAAAATGATTGCAATGAGTTAAATCTCAATTCTTTTTAATAAAATGAAAATGTTTTCTTATTTAATGTCAGTCTTGTTTCAGACCAATTTTAGAATAAATTAATTACATCCATTCCATTGTTGTGGGTGATGTTTGTGCTTGCTGGGCTATTTTGAGGTTTTTTTTTTTTTTTTTTTTATTGTTGGGGTTTTTTTATGTTTTTTTTTTTTTTTTTTTTAAAGATAGAATTTATTTATTTATTTATTTATTTATTTATTTATTTTGTGACAGAATTTTGCCCCTGTCGCCCAGGCTGGAGAGCAATGGCTCAGGTAGTTTTCTTGCCTCACCTCCCAAGTAGCTGGGACCACAGGTGCCCACCACCACGCCCAGCTAATTTTTGTAATTTTAATAGAGACAGTGTTTCACCATGCTGGCCAGGCTCGTCTCGAACTCCTGACCTCAGGTCATCTACCTGCCTTGGCCTTCCAAACTGCTAGAATTACAGGCCAAGCTACCACGCTCTGCCAAGATAAGAAATGTTCCGTGAACTTATTTTTGAGTGATCACAATCACTTGCCTTCTATTAATGCTTCCTATTAGTAAATGATTGATTAGTTTGTGGAAAGTTTCTTCTGATCAGCAATGTGGTAACTCTTTTGAAGTTTATAAAGGTTGGGCAGGAACTCTAATTGTAAAATGTTATCCTTACATGTCATCTTTTAGCATTGCCAATGCTGCTTTGCAGGAAAATGTGAATGTGACATAGTAATCACTGGTGACTAGATCATAGTGAAATATGTTAGTAGCTTTAAGATTACTTAAAAAGGGATATTTTAAAGAACAATTTGTTTCCTTAATAAAATATTACATAATGAAATATATTTAATATTTAAAAACTCCCAAACATTCTATTGAGTGTATTTGCCTAGGAGAATCCTTTTGGAAATTTAAAATAACTTTTGTCCAAATACTATTTATGAAACTTCTATTTAAATTTTTGGGTTTAAATGTGAAATCTTTTAAATATGATAGCACGTGAGTCAGTGGCTTCTTAGCTGGCATTTCTGTGTATTTGCTTAGACCCCGTATCCTAAATTATTCAACCTGCTAGTTACAGTACTGGCTGCCATTTTTTCTTTTTTGGTAAAATAAGGAAAAAGCAATAAAAGAAAGAAATGTATGATATTTCATTTCTATGTTTAAATAAATACAGCTTTTTAAAAACACCTTTATCAATATATATGCTGTAAAATTCTCTTAAGTGTATATAATTCAGTGATTTTTAGAATATTAACAGAGTTTCACAAGTCTCACCACTGTAGAATTTTAGAATGCTGCCATCACTTGAAAAAGATCCCTCCTGCCTATTTGCAGTTATTCCCAATCTCCCCCTGCCCCTGCTCCAGGTTCTTTTGCATGTTTGCATTTCATTTGTTCACAAGTGGAAAACATTTTTTTTTTAATATGGTTTCCTGCTTTTCCTGGTAGTCCACAAACATACCCAACCCATAATATAGCTGACCATAGGCAGTGAAGTGCTAGTCAGTACTCTTGGGTAAAGAACAAAAGGACTTGTGCTATGGAAAGAGAAGGTGTTTGTTTCTTGTTTCCTGCTTGACCCACCCTGGACAGTATTTTGATATACCTAGTTTCTCTTTGAGATCCTTTTACTACTTTCGTGTGTATCTCTTTCCCTGGGCATCTGCTACTATGATGCTACCTTAAGAATTTACCTTTACATCTCAGTTGATTTTGCCCTTCTCTTCTGTTTCTTCGTGGGCAAAATTCTCTATCCTTTGCAGTTTCTCTCTCTAACAAATCAAACCAAATCAAATCCAATTCTTACTGCTTTTAATGTTGGGTATTATGAGGAAAGAAAGCAAACATGATAATTTGAGGAGGATTGATACTTCTGGATAGATGAAGAAATTGCATGTTTAAACCTATATCATTAGCCTCATCAGTAAGTGACTTGGCATTTTGAAAAGCTGACAAAGTAGAGTAAAATTAGTCAGGCAGTATAAGAGAATTTCATTTGGAATGATGGAATTACCATAGTAGGAGACACAGTATTATTCACAGTTACATTTAGAGATTTGCCCCTGTCATGGTCTCAGCTGGCTCTCTCCATTTTTTATGTTTTGAGCCTAAGTTTCTCAATCTTTAAAATGCAGTGGCAATATTATTTCCTCACATATTTGTTAGGATTAGACAGTGTATTTGGAAATATGATGAATAGTGTCTTACATATTCAGTAAGATGGTAGCTTCCTCTAAAAATACTCCCTTAGCAGTTTTGGCAGCAGTAACCCAGGTGGCTCAAGGTCTTAGTTATCCTTTGTAAGCTAGAGACTGCTTAAATTTTTATACCAGATATTGTGCTGGGTACAGAACATATACAGATCAATAACATGAAGTCCCTATTCTCAAAGACATCGCTGTTTCTGAGAAAAGACAGATAAAACAATTAACTGTAAATCATTGTGTTAAATGTTATTTTTAAAGTGCTGTTGGGGCATTGGAGAAGGCTTTATAGAATAAGTCTTAAAAGGAAGTTACTGTTAGCATTAAATTCTTTGTTCTTCATTGTATTTTCTTTATAAAAAATTTGTAAGAAAGCTTTTCTGTTTGCTAATTCATCATGATAATCAGAAACTGAAGAGAAATTTCTTCTCAGAAGAGTACATGGTTTCATCTTATTTCTCAAATCATGTGAAAGCTACAAGGCAAGTGTATTGAGGTCTCAATAAAATTTCTGTTCATTTTTTAGACATGTAATGTCTTTTACATTATTTATACTTAATAATGATTTATCATTCAGTCAACCTCATTTATCCACTTTTCTCTAGGGTTTCCATACCTTAAAACTGTCATTTTTATCTGGAAGTTAGTAGTCATGTAACACTGTACAAATTTTAGGGGGGTGTGTGTATGTATGTGTATTTGTGTGTGTGTGTGTGTGTGTGTGTGTGTGTGTGTGTGTGTATGCATGTCAAAATTTAAATTACCATTTAAATAAAAACCTTAGTAGTTATCAGGTACTGCAATGTTATATTTTTTGGCTATGTATTACAGTATAGCTGAAACTCTTCAAGATGGGAGTGGGAGGGCACTGTTCATTTTACCAAGAATGCACCTTGTTCTTATACCCTGTCCAGACTTTATACCTTTTTTTTTTTAGACAAGGTCTCCCTCTGCTGTCCAGGCTGGAGTGCACTGGCAGGATCTCAGCTCACTGCAACCTCTGTTCAAGCGATTCTCACACCCTAGCTTCCTGAGTAGCTGGGACTATAGGCATGTACCACCATGCCCAGCTAATTTTTGTATTTTTAGTAGAGACAGGGTTTTGCCATGTTGGTTAGTCTGGCCTTGAATCCCTTGTCTCAAGTGATCTGCCTACCCCAGCCTCCCAAAGTGCTGGGATTACAGGTTTGAGCCACTGCACCCAACCAACATAACACGTCAAATGCTACTGTCTCTACAAACCTGCATTAATATCATTGGCCAACATTCGTTTTTACTTTTTCTGTGTTCCTCTGTCATTTGTACTTAATACTGTAACCATTATCTAATTATTAGAGTTCAAGCTTCTTGAAGGCAGCATTTGTGTTTTGTCATCTTTGTTTAATACTTTGGTCAAAATAGACACATAATGCATTATTGGTGATTTAAATTGGATCTAGGAAACTCAGGTTTGATGAAAAAGTCTTTTATTATTCTTTAACCCCTCTTAGAGTTTTGACTCTAAAATCAGGGATTGTGAAATCTCTTGCGTGTTCTGTTTGCTACTACCAACATGCAAATGTAATTCACACTGATCGTGTGCAGTAGCTCATTCCTGCAATCCCAGCAGTTTGAGACGCTGAGGCAGGAAGATTGCTTGAGCCTGGAGGATTGCTTGAGCCCAGAAGTTTGAGACCAGCCTGGATACCATGGTGAAACCCTATCTTTACAAAAAACACAAAAATTAGCTGGGCATGGTAGTATGTGCCTGTAGTCCCAGCTACTTAGGAGGCTGAGGTGGGAGGATAACTTGAGCCAAGGAGGAAAGAGATTTCGGTGAGCCAAGATCTTCCTCACTGCACTCCAGCCTGGGTGACAGAGTGAGACTGTCTCAAAAAAAAAAAAAAAAAAGTGGCTTAAACAGGATAGAAGTTTATTTCTTCTTCACATCGGTCTGGACATGAACTGTTCAGTGTGAGTAGAGTAGTTCTGTCATCTTCACCACGGGGCTTTTGTAATGGATCCAAAGTAGCAGGTTCATTCCTTATTGTCTCCCAGCAAATGGAAAAGGAGAAGAGGCCAGGGGAACAAAGGCCCAGTGTGGCAGTGGCAAAATACATCGTTTCTGTTTACATTCTACAGGAGAGGCTGAGAAATGTTGTCTTTCTATCAAGACAGCCATGTTTCTAGCTAAAATTCAGAAGCCTTTACTACTTAAAGGAAGAATGGGAAAATTGACATTAAAGATAGTAATTTTTGCCATAGTTTTTAGCTTTATTTCCATTTTTAAAAATAGTAGATCAGTTGTTCCAGGAATCAAAGAATTTGAGTATTTGACTGAGTCATCAGACCTAGCAGATTTTTAAATTATATAGCCCATTCCCTTACTGTAGGTGACACAGAAGGTCATATAAGAGCCTTCCCAGTGAGAAATTTACCATCTACTTTAGGAGACAGAACTAATTACAAATGAAAAAAGAGCACATACCTATTGTGGCACATTTTATGTGATATACTGTCAAAAGTATAGACATTTATAGGAGATAAATATTTCCTGTAATCTAAAATAGAGGAAAATAGGAAACTGTTAAAGATTTGGAGTTGGAAACTGAAATGGTGTAAGAGTGTAAACTGGTAATAGAGTTCAGACTGGGTGAATTATCTTTCTCCCTCTTAATCTGATTATGGCATTGAGTGGATGAGCTCCCTCCCTTTTGCTCTGCCTAACCTCTGAGGTTACCTATGACTTTTTAGCCTCAGTTACCACATCCAGATGTTCTTTCTTAGCCCCATTACTCTTGACTTCTTTGGAACGTTTGATACTGTTGAACATCTTTTTAAAAAGTATTTTTATTTTACTTTAAGTTCTGGGGTACATGTGCAGATCTTGCAGGATTGTTACATAGGTATACATATGCCATGGTGGTTTGCTGCCTTCATCTTCCCGTCACTTACATTAGTTATTTCTCCTAATGTTATCACTCCCCAATCTCCCCACCCACTGCTATCCCACCCCTCACCCCCCACCCCCCAACAGACCCCAGCATGTGATGTGATTTTTTTTCCCTGTTTTTGAAAATAGCTTTTCTTTGAAACGACCTCATTCTCTAATTTTGTATTGCCTTTCATTTTCTCCCTAAGATTTAGTACTCTGCTTTTTTTGGGCTCTTTTTGTTCTTAGTACTGCAGCTATCATCTTAAAAAAAAAGGTGCAGGTGCATGTATGTGCGTTATGCGTGCATGTGTGTGTTTGTATGCACGTGTGTGTATGTATCCAGTTTGAACTTTAATCCTATATTCTAAATTGCCTGCTGGACATTTTCATCTTGATGTATCACTGTCCTTTAAAGCATTCAATGGATCGCCTGCAAAATTTCTGACTCCACAAGTACCCTTATGCTTTATATCCCAGGTGCAAAATTTGCATTTTGGTCTACCTTCTCTTTTGCCACTGTATGTTTTATGAATAAGCCCTGTCAGTTCTTCATGGTGATTTCATATTTGTTTGTTTCCATTCTTACTGCTGCCACATTTATCAGTTCCTTAATTACATTAGGTATATGAAGGCAAATCAGGAAGTGTGCTGAATACTTGAGTTAAAGACTGTGGAGAATGCTCTAGAACCTTGCTATTCAAAATGTCATCTGTAGATGGCAGCATGGGCATCACTGGGAACTTGTTAGGATGCAGAATCTTAGAAGCTACTCTGGGGGCTACAGAATTAGAATAATCATTAGAATATTCATTTTCATGATTTTTCCAGTTGATGCACATGCACATTAGGGTTTGAGAGACACTGATCTAGAGTTCACTGTGCATTTCTCCTTTCCTCCTCTCTTCTCCCCCTCACCCCCCTATTTTCTGACTAGAGTGCAGTGGTACCATCATAGCTCAAAGGGACTTCAAACTTCTAGGCTCAAGTGATCCTTCTGCCTCAGCCTCCCAAGAAGCTAGACCTACAGGCACGTGCCACTACGTGCAGTGTGTAGTTTTTAATTTTTAATAGAGTCCACTGTGGTCTCACTGTGTTACCCAGGCTGTTCTCAAACTCTTGGCCTCAAGTGATTTTCCCACCTTGGCTTCCCAAAGTGCAGGGTTACAGGTGTGAGACACTATATCCCACCCACTATGTATCTCTTTAACCTTTCTTCATTTGAGACTTAATTGGTAAAAATAATTAAACCCCTAGTTGTTACTCTGTAACCATTTACATTAATGTGTAAGCTTCAAAACAGATTGTTCTGTTGTCAATTGTTGTGTTAGAAGTGATGAGACAGAGTGGAAAGTAACTGGGGGAGGCAACTCTATTTAGAGTAGTCATAGATGACCCAGATGTATATTTGCCAGTTTATAGATGTCATTTCTCAAATTTAAAAGCAGAATATTTGGGGATAAGTTGCATGCATATAATCTTCTTCCTGTGTAATTAAGGAATTTGAGGGGGACATTATTGTTAGTTTTACTATATTGTAGTTACTGGCTTTAATGTTGTTTTGTATAGCAGTGTCACCTTTAGATAAACAGCATATACTTAAGACAGGCGGCTACATTTTTAAAAAGCTTTATTTTTTATTTTTTTTGATAGGGAGTCTCGCTCTGTCACCCAGGCTGGAGTGCAGTGGTGGGATGGATCTCTGCTCACTGCAACCTCTGCCTCCCGGGTTCAAATGATTTTCCTGCCTCAACCTTCTGAGTAACTGGGAGTACAGGCATCCACCACCATGTCTGGCTAATTTTTGTATTTTTAGTGGAAACAGGGTTTCACCATGTTGGCCAGGCTGGTCTTGAACTCCCGACCTAAAGTGATCTGCCTGCCTTGGCCTCCCTAAGTGATGGTATTATGGGCCTGAGCCACTGTGTTAAGCTGCTTGATTTTATTGATATCTCATACTATATACATACATTTTTCATAGATAATTTATAGAAGTATATTAGGAATACAATTCTGAATATTTGGCATATTTTCCAGATATTTTTTCATTTTACTTTATTTTGTAATATGATTTTCAATATATGAAAATCATATATTTCATTTTACTTTATTTTCAATATATGAAAATCATAAGAAATTTTTAAATTATTGTGAAAGAATATATTCAAAGGTATGAAGAATTGTACAGCTAAGCTTGTATTCTTTTATTCATATGTGAGTTTTTTTTTTTTAGAACTTTTTGACCATGAACTGAAGAACTAACATTTTGTAGCACACCTCAGTTCATATATGCGTATTATATGTTACTGAAACACAAGTTTATATTTTTGACATACAGCTTAGAAATTCAGTGTTACCGTTGCTCCCCAAGGCCACAGTGAACTTTTCCCTGATCACATACTCTTTCCTCACCACCAGTTGCCTGCCTCGGTTGCATGACATTTGTAGTCACCTTTAATTAATATGCAATATACTATTATTTTACACATTTTTTCAACTTATATGTAAATGGTTTCACCCTGCATATATTTATCTGTAACCTTTCTTAATGTCAGTGTTATATTTGAGATTTAGCCATGTTGATCCAAGGCTTTTTGTTTTTGTTTTCTTTTTTTTTTTTTTAATTTAAGTTCTGGGGTACATGTGCAACTTGTGCAGGATTGTTAAATAGGTATACACATGCCATGGTGGTTTGCTGCATCCATCCCCCTGTTATCTACATTAGGTATTTCTCCTAATGTTATCCCTCCCCAATTCCTCCGCCCCCTGCTATCCCTCCCCCTCACCTAGCCCCCACCCCCCACTCCCCAGCTGGCCCTGGTGTATGATGTTCCCCTCCATGTGTCCATGTGTTCTCATTGTTCAGCACCCACTTATGAGTGAGAACATTTGGTGTTTGGTTTTCAGTTCTTGCGTCAGTTTCCTGAGAATGATTGTTTCTAGCTTCATCCATGTCCCTGCAAAGGAAGTGAATGTATCCTTTTTTATGCTTCATCCTTTTTTATAGTATTCCATGGTATATATGTGCCATGTTTTCTTTATCCAGTCTATCATTGATGGGCTTTTGGGTTGGCTCCAAGTCTTTGCTATTGTAAACAGTGCCACAATGAACATACATGTGCATGTACCTTTATAATAGAACAATTTATAATCCTTTGGGTATATACCCAGTAATGGGAGTGCTGGATCAAATGATATTTCTAGTTCTAGATCCTTGAGGAATTGCCACACTGTCTTCCACAATGGTTGAACTAATTTACACTCCCACCAATAGTGTAAAAGCATTCCTGTTTTTTCGCATCCTCTCCAGCATGTCTCCTGATTTTTTAATGATCACCATTCTAACTGGTGTGAGATGGTATGTCATTGTGGTTTTGATTTGCATTTCTCTACTGACCAGTGATGTTGAGCTTTTCTTCATATGTTTGTTAGCTGCATAAATGTCTTCTTTTGAGAAATGTCTGTTCATATACTTTGCCCATTTTTTGATGGAGTGGTTTTTTTTTCTTGTAAATTTGTTTAAGTTCTATGTAGATTATGGATATTAGCCCTTTTTCAGATAGGTAGCTTGCAGAAATTTTTTCCCATTCTCTTGGTTGCTGGTTCACTCTAATTACAGTTTCTTTTGCTGTGCAGAAGGTCTGGAGTTTAATTAGATCCCATTTGTCTATATTGGCCTTTATTGCCATTGCTTTTGGTGTTTTAGTCATGAAGTCCTTGCCTATGCCTATGTCCTGAATGGTACTGCCTACGTTTTCTTCTAGGGTCTTTATGGTGTTAGGTCTTATGTTCAAATTTTTAATCCATCTGGAGTTAATTTTTATATAAAGTGTAGGGAAGGGGTCCAGTTTCAGCTCTCTGCATATGGCTAGCCAGTTTTCCCAATACCATTTATTAAATTGGGAAT